AATTTGTCAAAATTAAGCCCAAAATTCATTTTTTATTTGACAAAGTGTAAAAGTTTCCCGGTAGTTGCGTCTTGAAATATAGTCAATTTGAAGGATTAGTTTGGATTGTACTGAATTAAAATTTTCATTAATTCCTTCTTCAAATTTGCTTTCTCGTGCTTTAAAGACTATCATCCTCCCACATGACGAATTTTACGTTCCGTTCGCTATCTTTAGACGAAACTTTTCGCGGACCTTGCAAAATCTTCTTTAAAACAGCGCCATCAAAAACACAGCGAATGCATTGAGAACAAACTTTCCCATGGCAGAGGCAGTGCAAGCATCACTAATTATGCCACTGTCTCTTTTTCAAACTGAACTTCCATAAGCTTTGGATAATAATTGTTCCAGAACGACATCCGCCGAGGAGCAAATGAAGTCGTCATCTCGGATTTTTTATCCACCCGGAGATAGGCCCTGTGACTGGAGTTGTACCTCTCAAACGTAACACCGCTGACTGGCTGGGGCGTTGGATTTCCGAGCTTGGCAAAGTTTGTGTGCAATGTCATGATAAACAAACTGACGTCTTTGTCCGACTGGTCCGGAAACAAATTCTCAAAACGAGGCATAAAAGGGTTTCCAAAATCGAAGCCGACATTATCGCCATGTCTTACCCCATGCCACACCTTGTGAAAGGGGCGTATTCTTTGCTGATAATCAAACATGTACATATAAACATCGGCATAGTTGCTGTGAATGTCGGCAACTGCGTGACTTGGGGCGTAGTAGAAATAGTCACCGATGAGGTCAACAAGCTGGGTTCTTAGTGCGTACTTATCACTTCTGTCGGGCCATGGGGTATACATAAACTGCAATGCATCCCTTATAAGGTCGCCCTTCTGCTCTCTGAGGGAAAGAAAGATGTCAATTATTTCCAGTGCTAGGTAAAGCTTATTGAAATCCGAAATGGCTATTCTTTATCTAACTTTAGCGGCATTTACACGAGCTAGTTTTCCTTGGCACGTGCACGATTCGCTTCGACGAAAGGCTAACACTCGAGCTGCAAACAGTATCAATTCAGTTGATAAAATCAAGTTATCTTGTAACATCTCACCGACACTGCATCACAGTTTTTTTTAGAAACTTACCCTCTTTTTTCCAGGAAAGATTGCTTGCTAAATATATTTTAAAAAAATGAAAACTAGACAAAGATACTCTCCGCTGCTTCAGCAAAAACTCTCTCGTAAATATCCGCTGAATACAACAAGCGCAGGTACACATCGAAAGGGCGTTCATGTACATGCACGCATTGCTTTCGCAAGAGAGAGGTCAAAAGTTGCTTGACGAGGAAAGGTTGTTGAAGCAGATTTATTTTGTCAAAGCCATTAAAGTTTCATGCCGTGTATAATCATGAAACCTTACCTACCATAGAAAAAACACCTTGTAGAAGATTTATCTTCGTTCAAAAGCTCTAAGAAAAAAATTGTGACACCTTTCCACACTTGCGATTTTACTTCAGGAATTTGTCTAAGTCTGTAAGCTCTCGTGAAAAAAATAATGGCAGTTATAGCAGATAGCTAAACTTACCTGATATTTCGCGCATACGCGAACTTTGTTAGAAATTCCCTAAAGAAAGATGGACTCACTCCGTTGTCTACACTTTCCACCATCCCATAAGACCGATTTGCAATAAATGCCAAGTCAGCTCCACCCTCCCCACTGGTAAAAACAATCATTAACTTGGCTTTCTTAAACTCTCCTTTATCTCGAAGACTCCGGGGGGTGTCATGAAGAAAGTTTTTATCCACAACTGGGGCCCAGCGCCGATAATCCTGAAATATAAAGGGTATTTTATTGGAGGCGTCTTGTATCTCTTTTGCCTCTTTCTGACGAATGCAGGCCATCATTTTGCTGTGGTCGCTCGTTGGACAATTCAGGTTTTCAGCAAGCTTATTGGCAAAGTGGAGACCAAAGGAAGTCGGCTGAATTGCAAAGGGACTCAAATCCACTCCGCTCTCTGCAATGGCTTGTTGGAAGAGGCCGTTAGAAAGTGGGGACAATAGATGGAGGCTCACACTTGTTCCACCAGCGCTAAATCCAAAGATAGTCACCTTACCGGAGTCCCCGCCAAAATTTTTTATGTTTCCTTTGACCCACTGAAGTGCCGCCACTTGATCCAACATTCCATAATTCCCAGGGGCAGTGGAATCCCCGGTCGTCAAAAAGCCAAATGCACCGAGACGGTATTGGATTACAACTACTACCACGCCGTGCAAAGCTAAATAATCGCCGCGATATGTTATTGCACTTCCATATTGATAAGCTCCTCCGTGAATGTAAATCATCACGGGTAGAAGCTGGCTTACGTTCGGGGTGTAGACATCGAGATATAAGCAATCTTCGTTATACGAAAAATTTTGAGTAAACATCCGCACATAAAATTCAGAGATCTTATTTTGGATGCAAATGTTGCCGTGCTGTTTAGCTTGACGAACATTTGGCTTCCATGAAGCTGGCTTTTTAGGTGGTTTCATTCTTAGGTCCCCAACTGGTGGAGCGGCGAAAGGTATTCCAAGAAATTTGCTAACTGACTTGTATATGAAAGAAGAATTCGGGTACGATTCCTCAAGCCCTTCGACCTCTCCATAGCTTGTGGATACCCTTATGGGTGTGACTAATGGCAGCAAAACGCAGAAAAGTGATAATCGTAGTAACAGCTTTTTGGAAATCATTGTGCCTTAGTTTGAGTGAGCCACTTTTCCTTCGGCTTCACTCGAATTCTCTTCACTCGATGGAACCTGACGTGGGTTGCTGGTTCACTGAGAATGTTTGTCGATATCAGTGTCATCTGATAACGTAGTAATATTGCAATAGTTTGAAACAGCTAGTATTTAAAATTATCTATGACGTCAATTAATGTCTTTATTTTCGTGTAGCTTTCTGGAAACTGAAGCTTAATCCAAAAGGAATCGAAGCCCAGGGCGAATTTAACTGAGAAACTTTGTTTTTCAAGCACTGCAAAATTTTACAGATCTGAAAGGATGGATGTCTTTTCAAGGGCTTCTCCTGATATTTTAATTTTTCACACTGATCATGTTGTGAATATTTGCGTGATACGGCCATATCAATATCTCTCATGGCGCGGTCTAAGCCTTTAAAGCCAATCACATGCTTATTGCAATTGAATTTATTGGCGTAGTGTTTGAGTCGTATTGGAGCGATAAAAAATATCTTACCTCCTTCAAAAAATTCACAGCCTTTGGGCATAAAACACACTTCTCCGACAACATGGACGTGACAAACCCTACACCACGCATTGAAACTATCTGGTCTGATATCTGGTCTCCAACTTGTTTTCTGTCACTGTCTCTGTCTCTGTCTCCGTGTACTGTCCTTTCTGTTATATTTTCAGTTATTTATAAGTATTATTAAAAAAAAAAAAAGAAAAGAAAAAATGAAAACGCTTTAGTTGTAGCTAAGGTAAGGAATTTGTAGATGCGTGAATATTTTGTGATACGCTTTTTATTAGCCAACCAATAAATTAATGTAAATTGAATTAAATTAATGTCTTTATTTTCGTGTAGCTTTCTGGAAACTGAAGCTTAATCCAAAA